TGAGCACCTCCCTCATTTTCTTAGAATGGCAATAGGTCCCATCTGAGAGGTGCCGGAATTGAGTTCTGGTGAGTTCCAGCTGAAATAAGCTCTGTGTATAACTGTCAAATTCCTTTATAACAACCACAAAATTGGTTTGGATTCAGATGTACAAGAGAAACCCCCAGCAACAGGGTTTACTGACCCCCTTTCCCTTCACCCCCCCAGCTGAGGTCCATAATGGCATAGAATAAGGTGGCTTATAGTGGGTGAAGGAAGTTCACATATAACATGGGGAAATACCTTGGGTGAACCTTCCACTTGTCTGGATCCCAGCCATTATAAATGTAAAAAAGATTTATGCATGGATAGGAAGTATCTAATAGAAAAGTGAAATATTAGGGGGAATGAGCAGTGCTAAATGTAGGTTGTGTAGTTGGGTTCATTTATTGGTGCTTTTTTCATTGAGATGTTTCTCCTTTCTTAGCAATACATGCTAAAGGCTTATTCATAATCACTAGCTGATTTTTTGTTTTCTTGTCAGGGCATTTAAGGGACTAGGAGGGTGACACTGCAAACATTGCTGAAGGCTCTGGCATCTATAACTGTCTGTCAGTGGTGGAGAGAAGTATTCTGAGCATTGGGAAGTATCTGGAATGCAAGGATGTGATGGGCCTTTAGAACACAGAAATGTTGCTTCAGTCATAACCCAACCTCTTCTGCAGAAGAGCTAAAAAGAACATCTTGTGGTTTCTCTATACTTCCTGTATGTAACATTAAGGACACCTCCATTTCCTTTCTGCTACTTCAGTTCTTATTGAGTAGCTGCTAAGCCATTCCCCAGGAAACTTAACCTTTCACCAGCTGGTGTCTGATGAAATCAGATTGTTCTATTCATGGACATAGCCAAGGGGGGGGCAGGTGCCCCCTAAATCAATACAAATCAATACAAATCCAAGCTTCTACCTGCCCCCCTAACAAAAATCCTGGCTATGCCCATGATTCTAATTACAACAGATTTTGTGTACAAACTTGAAAATGGAGATCTGCAATTCCATAGTTCCATAAATGTACAGTTGGCTCTAAAAATAAACCAAGCTCATGCTTATTCAATAATTTATTTATTTTATTCTTATTTGTCATTTTAGACCCATTTTATTATGCTTAGAGGAGGGGCTACTGTGTGTTTGATGTTAGGAATTACAAAACATACATATTCGGTATAGAACATGTACAATACTAAAAATTACTTAATCTCAAAATGATTGTGTAAAGTTCATATAACTGGCACATTCTTACATAACAGATTTGTTTTCCTGAACCAGCTTTCCATGGCAGGGGTACCCAACCTGTGGTCTGCAAACTCCAGGTATTCCATGGCATATCCATATCAAATATTCCTATTGATTTTTAATTTTATTGTTTCTTTTATTTCTCATATTGTATTTTATTGCATTACAATTTGTATTCTATGGAATGCAAATTTTAATATAATTAAATACAAAATAAGAAATTGAAGGATCACTAACATTACAATTAAAAACACAGCACATTAAGTCAATTGCATCTGCAGAAGTAAGCTGTAAAGTTAAGGCTGCCATCTGAAGCACCCTCAGAAGTGCTAGTGAAATTAGTATCAGGCTGTAACTCATCTACAAGGCAAATGTAATGTATGCAAGATATTGTAGTATTCAAATGAATGTTTTAGCTTATTAGGCAATGGAAATTACAATTTTTAAAATGCTTTGACTGAAGGCAAATTTTAGGAATGGCAAAGTTATGTAAAATCATAATAAAACCAACGTTGGACTTTGTTGTTTCTTCTTTTTAAATTCCTAAATATAGAAGTAAACCAACACCTTATGAATAATATCCATAACTCTCTTATTTTTCTCCCATCTGCTTTGACAATTTGATTTCAATAACTGAGTAATTGACAAAAACACGTAATGGAAAGATTGTGCATGCTCATGAAATGAGCAAAATTATTTAGTTGTAATGTTGGATAATAATGAATGCCTTGTTCTTAGTACTTAGAGGAACACTGAAGTATGCAGAAATGTTATTTCCAGCTACAAATATGTTTTGCACATCTAGTGTCTGAAAATGTAACATGGTTAAACAAATAAACTGAGCAAATTATACATTTAGTTTGAACTGGATACTTGATAGTTTTCCTGGAATGTGTAGCTGAAAACACTGTTTTGATAAGGGTATACATAAGTTACAACAGTTATGCTGTAAATCTGACCAATTCAATTATTCTTTGGAAAAAGTAGGAAAAAAAAGCAAACAATTTTGCAGATTTCAGGTAGATATGTGTCAGGAGGAGACAATAAGATTTTAAAACAAAAAACTGCATGCCATTTTTAAAGTCATCCAATCATTTTAGTTTCTTCAAATTATTCAAATAATGTATAGAAGATATCTGTGCATGTGAATAAGTGACATGCAAGCTCTCTGTTTTATAAACATTTGTAAATAACCACGTGCACTGTTTTACTAATGCCAGCATTAGATTCCAGGAGGCATGTTAAATGATGCTATTTACCAACGTGACAAACGATTATGGAGACAAAAATCTGCCCTCTTGGTAAGTTTGGGTAGCCTCCCGTTCTTTATCACAGCTGACTGAATAAGGAAAATAAATGGAAAGGCTTTCCAACGAGACCCTGTGTGTATTTCTACTGAGTGCCAGTGCCCACTGCACAATTTTAAACAGAGCACCAATTACTGATTGAGAAAACAGATGAAATATCTCGTTTTCAAAACGGTTGCAGACATATAACGCAAAGGCAACCTAATGCAATAACAGATCCACCCCCCCCACCCGTCAGTAAGGAAAACTTCAGGACTAAAATCAGGTTCATTTGCTTTGAATGTACCATAACAGATAAAAAAGAATTCTAACAGTTATCTTCCAGTCATTTATATAACGCTGTCCTTTTTTCATTTCAAAATGTCTCTTTTGTCCGTATATACTAGTAAGGATCCAGAAATCAAATAGATGAAACCTTACAACTAAGATCGGACCAGTTTTAATGAATACCAAATTGTATTATTATTATTCTTTCTTCTTCTTCTTCTTCTTCTTCTTCTTCTTCTTCTTCTTCTTCTTCTTCTTCTTCTTCTTCTTCTTCTTCTTCTTCTTCTTCTTAGAAACTAAGTGATCATTGGGATGAGGAAATAGGGCAACTATTCTCATCAAAGGAATGGGGGATGTAAACCGGTACCATGTGAAGATCGGTGCCTTTCTTCCTTTGCGACAGGCTTTGGCGCCGTTTGTGGGCGAGGTTCTTGCCTTTAAGGAGCCGCCTTGACGCCGGGCACCGTCGACTTCTGCGAACGCGATCGGCTTCGCGATTGGTTTGCTCCCGACGAGCCTCCTTTTAAAGCACCGCTCCGCAAAAGAGTCGGCGAACGTTTTTACGGGGAGCCGTGGGCTCCCTCAGAGAGGAGCCGCCCGCGCAGAGAGGCGGCTTGCCAGGTAATGGCCGTTTGAGTCCCACCCGTCCCGCGCCCTTCCAGGGTAGCCCTCTCCTAGCGCCCCTCTGGGCGAGAGAGTCGGAGGAGGAAGGAAGGGAGCGGGAGCCAGGCTTTTCAGTCCCCTTTCCTCTCCCGTTGGTGCTGAAACGGGAGCTTGGGCGCGCGAGCGAAACATACAGTTGCCAGCCTGGGCAGCCAAGCGCCCCGCGCCCGCCCGGAACTCTTGGCCGGAACTGCGTGGCGAGCGGCTCCCCCTGGACAAGCGCACCTGCCGTGAGGCGGGCTGCGCCCCGAGAGACTGAGCGCTCAGGTGAGGAAGAAGGACGCTGGCTGGGCCAGCCCCCTTCTTCCCTCGCAGTCGCGTTGTGGGCAGGGCAGGGCGCGTGGCCGCCTCTGGGACCCCCTCAGCCACGAGCAGCGAACCAGACACGTGTTCCCAAGTTGGGAAACGGGAAGGAGCGCAGGTGCCTTCGGCGCGTGGCCTTGTTTCTCGTCGTGGGCGGGAAGTTCGGCGCCAGACTCTCTTCAGGGCGGAGTCCCGAAAAGCGCGCCCCTCACCAGTGCAGCACGTTTGCCTCAGAAGTCAGTTTGGTTCAAGGCGGCTTCCCGCCAAGATAGTGTGCGCGCGAAGGCAGCCTCAGCCTGAATGCCTTTGGGGACGTGCAGAGTGCTTCCCGCCCCTCACAGGCCGAAGTTGTTGGGAGCTCGCTGGAAGCCCCTTCCCTTCCCAAGCTTATGTCTTTTTAGAAACTGAGCGCTGAAGTCAAAGCGTGACACAAAGGCGAGCAAGAGAGCGCTCCTGCGCTTACGCTCGTGGGCTTCTCAGGGGGACGTGCCGGGCCTTTGGGTCGGACCCAGACGGGCTCTGCTTAATACGCTCTTCAAGCCTGTGAAGGGGAACTCTGGGTGTTTGTGAACTTGGAAGTGCTGAGAGGGCGCAGAGGCGGCCGAGGGGCAAATCCCTTCGCTTCCCGCGCTTTCTTCAGGCTTGCTTTGGCTTCGCGGCGGGGAGGTGAGCAGGGAGGCGGCTCTGAGGCACCAGGCTCCGCCAGTGGGCGGTTTTTCTGGCGGCGAGCCGGGGTTGGAAATTGGAAGCAGCACTGCAGTGAACTATTTTTTTCCACGCTCCTCGCTCTGCCTTTTTTACAGACGGAAAGAAATGTTTGCATTGCTGAGAAGGAACCAGAGGAAAGGGGTGGGTTGTGTGTATTTGCGCGCGCGCGCTTTAACGCCAAGGTTTGATTGGTGGGGGTCGCCAGCAGACTCCTCGTTCTCCTCAAAGGGGGAAAAGCAAGATATTAAGAGGATTCTTCACGGCGGATCCTAAACCCGAGGAAGGCGGCCGGCCACCCTTCGCGTGAAGGGAAAGGGGCGGAGGAGCAGCAGCAGCAGCAACCGAACCGGCCCCTTCGCCTGCCTCTGCTTCCCTCCTCGCCGCCCCGCCGTGTGACTCTCGGCAAAAGTCCTGCCTCAAACTCGCGCGGAAGGGCAGGAACGGAGCTCGACGGCCAACCCGGAGAAAGCGCGCTTAGCCCGCCCCCAGACCCCCCCCCCCGGCTGCAGGGGCGGGAGGGGAAAACCCGGGCTCCAATCCTAGCCTGCTCCACTCCCTCGACCAGGAGAGGGGCGGAGGCGGCGGGGGGCTTCCTTCCCCGGGAAGGGACCGGGCTGCTTGCGGCCGCACTCGCATCCTCGCAAGGAGCCGCGGGGACAGGCTCCTGCAGCCTCTTCTCCAACCCAGCAGCAGCAGCAACTCCTCCAGTCGCCTCCGTTCCCTCCCCTTCTCCTTCCTTCCACTCCTTGCCGCCACCTCCGTTCCTCCCCTCCTCGCCTCCCTTCCACCTCCCCAGTCCCCGCGGGAGGGAAGGAGAGGGGAAAGCAAGCACGGCGTCGGCAGGAGATGTGGGAGCAGCAGCAGCTGCCTTGATTGCCTTCCCCGGCAGCGGCGGAAGCAGGAGGCGGCGGCGGCGGCGGCGGCGGCTCTGCCTCCCTTTTTCCATCCTGCTCCCATTTCCCAAGAAGGCGCCGCCGGGCAGCGTCGTCATCGGCAGCAGCGGTCGCCTCCCGGCTCCTCGCTTCTTTGCCCGGCTTTTTCTCTCTTGTGGTCCTGTAATCGGGTAGCTACAGGAGGAGGAGGAAGAAGAAGAGCGGCCGCCCGCGGCGACGGCCCCAGAGGCAGGAGCCGGGCTTGCAGGCAGCGGCAGCAACAAAGAAGCGCCGTCTCCACTTTCTCCCCGTTCTCCGCTTCGCTCTTGTTAGGGCCAGACATGGAAGATGGATCTTCTTCGGGCAGCTGTTTTAGGCGGTTTACCGAGTGTTTCCTGAGCGCAAGTAGGTGGCTTCGCGTTTTGTTCTACGGCTGATTGCTTTTAAGGGCGAGGGGGGTCTGGATGCGGGAGCGCCCCCCCCCGTGTGTGTGTGTGTAAAAGAGACGGGGGGGGGGTGCTTCCAGGGAAACTTGGTCTCAAGGCGCCGCTCTTTTTAGAAATAAAGCACTGCTGCCCCTGCGATGCGAGGGTGGTACCTATCTATTGATGTGGAATGGGATAACAAAAGGAGGAGGAACAATTGCTCGTCAGAAGATAGTGCGAGAAATAAATAGGTTTAAATTCCAGGAAGGTAGAGTGAGATCAAACCACCACCGTGGTTACAGTGTGCTCACTGTAAATGGATTAGCTAGGGAGGACGCTTCTTTCAGGAAAGTGAAATCTTCCTTCAAGAAAGTGAAATCGTCTTCCTTGGATACTTTCTGTTCAAGACTGCATAGCCCTCGGTTGAAGATGCTTTAAACATGGGATGTCCTGTTTCAGAGCAAGTTTGCTTATTAACGCTGTGGCAAGTCTTTACTAGGGCATGCTGAAAGCAGCACAATAGATATCAGAAATTTTCTTGTTGGAAACATTACAAGAAGAAGGAAAGCACACCAGAGTACAAATGCCAGAGAATAGTTGGTTACGGGAAGGAATAATGAAAAAAGAAACAATCATTTGTTGCTTTCTGTTGCATTCACTTCCCCCCTTTTGTTCTCTGATTCACATTTCAGTAGAATTGAACACATTTGTGATGTGGTGGTAAATTATTTATTTTTTAAAGCTATTTCCACAGTGTCCTTCACCAAAAATAGTCACAGGTCAGTTTACAAAAAATAACGTACTCTAAAACAATAAACATGATAGTAATTTGCATAATTACATGAATAGCATAATTAAAAACACCATAAGAATTGTTTAACCCATCAGCCACTAAAAAGGTGGGTTTTACTTGGCACCTGAAAAAAACATCATAGTTGGGGTGAAATGCACCTCAGTGGGGTGGTCATTCCACAGATGTGGAGCCACCATTGAAAAGGCTCTTCCATGGGTCCCATCACTACACTTCTTTTAATGCAGGAACTTGAATGGCATGGAACCTGAAGTAGACAAATGACGTGGAATAGTCTTGTCAAGTGACCAAGATTTATTAGGACTTAGGACAGTCGTAGGTCTTGGAAGTTAACAAATGAAAAATGGATGAACATGGAATAATATTAACCTGCCACATACTAGCAGAGACATATAAAAACAAAATTTGTGTTCTACCATTTAACACATAATAAATCTTCATTCTTGAGTAATTGGGGTAGTGTATAGTTTCTATTTCTATGGCAACCTGATTCAAAAGTATATTGGTAATTGTGGTGAAAACAGAATTAGGGGGTTGTCATCGCTTCACATTAATAAAGCACAGGTGCGTGATCTGTTGAATGATCGTCTCATTGTGAAGATGTTGATACTTCATCTTCATTATTGGACCCATAACGTATCCCCCATTTATTTATAGTGACTAGATGGCTATTTAGATAGATCTCCCAAAGTTTATATGGAACACAACTTCCCTTACAAACTTCCCATTTTAATGTTTATTTATTTGTAATTGGGAAATGTGTACAAGTGTTCGCTGACCACTTTAGGGAAAATGTAAATGGGATTATTAGTTTGCTTCTGCCCTCTCAGGCTCTTTGAGTGTGAAACACACTGGAAGGGTGGCAAATAGTTGCATATTTTTAAAAAAAGTTTTGGGGGAAAAAAGCCTGACAGTAGAGCTACCATAAAATGTGATGGGCGGTGGAGTGGGGACTTGTGATTAAAATCATAGGCAATTTTGAGGGAAGAAGAGCACATGGTGTGACAAAATAGATGAATTAACAAGGTTGTGAAGGGTCCCAGATGCATTTGGCTGAAAAGCCACGAATGGCCACCACTTCTTGCTTTCCCACCTCCCTTCACCGCCTTGGAAGTGCTTTGCATGAGGGTTAAAAGGAATGTGTAACTTGAAATGAGTTTCAGGGCCATACTGGACTTTCAGGATTGGGTTATTCCGGATGCAAGTTTATGTGTGAATAACCCTTTCTCCCATGTTTCCTTCAACTGCTTTTTAAAGCTATTTTCCTCCTATGAGAGGATTGGAAGTTACCCACCGCAGGAGAAAAACCTGTTAAAAAGGGGAAAAAGTTGGGAGAAATGTGAGTAAAGGAAAAATTTGGCCTCCCTGTTTCAGTCTCTCCTACCCCACAGCTTTGTAGGGATTCAGCACAATAACTTGTGCTGGGTCACAAGGCGTTCTGGCTAATTTGAACCTTTCCTTTTTGCTTCCAAGTATTTGCTTACTTGTGGGGGTTGTGATAACTCTGCAACCATTGGTATATTTTCTACACTGTATCTACACTGTGTCTCTTACTACACTTCTTTTTTTCTTTTTTAATGCTTCATGTAATAGCAAACGTTAACATTATAAATACATTCACTGTATTCAAATTAACTTCTTTTTATAGAATTATGTTCCTTTAATTCTGTGATTATAGGTTTATGTTAAATGTGTAATAGATCACTTTAAATAGGTAAAATAATATTTAACCCTTTTACAAAATCTGTATAAGTAAAATAGATAATTGATTCTAGTCATTTATTAGCAGTGAAAAAGTGTAAAATAATTCCAACTTAAACATTTATTTCACTTTACCAACTGGGGAATCATGTTCGTTGTCCATCTTTTAACTTTACTAAATCTGAAAGTTGCTGAATCATTTTCTTTCAGTGAGAATTTTATCAGGTTGCCATTTCATAGCTGACAACATCTTGGTTGCTCTTAATAACTAAAGGAATATGATTTGGTTGAGATATCCCAATAATACTTGGATGGAATTTAATAGTACAGAATAACTTTTCACATTCTACATATCTCACCTCCGGCATGCATGCATGTAATCAACACCTTCTTTTACATGTCCAACATCTGTTAACAGGATAGATTTTAGCTAAATGCTTCAAGGGTTAGGTACCAGCAACAAAACCATCATGAAATAATTTATTATAGTTTGTTTAGTTGCAGTTTGCCTCCCCTTATTCTAAGTCATTAAGTAATATATACATGTGTACAAATAACAATGATACTTGTCATTCTTTAAAGAACAAAATGCTGAATAATGTTGTGAGACTGGGGGATTTGGACAGGAGAAGATACGTGGAACCAGAAATGTAGCTGGAGACTCTTTTAGCAGTTTTGTTAGGGAGATTTCTGGATTATATATGTTGATAATTCACATTTTCCTTATATTCATATGTTTCCCCTGTGTCCCCATCAGCTAAAGATGTCTGTACATACGGGACAGCCTGATGTTTTCAAGTGGTACACAGAGGAAGAGGCAGATATTTGAGGTTTGGGCTCTGTAAGCACGTGGGTGGGTTGTCTGTTGGAGTGTTTAAGGTCTACCTCTATATGTGTCGCTGTTTACCTGCAGATAAACTCAAATGTTAGGGAACGCGGGTGGCGCTGTGGGTAAAACCTCAGCGCCTAGGACTTGCCAATCGCATGGTTGGCAGTTCGAATCCCCGCAGCGGGGTGCGCTCCCGTCGTTCGGTCCCAGCGCCTGCCAACCTAGCAGTTCGAAAGCACCCCCGGGTGCAAGTAGATAAATACCATCGGGAAGGTAAACGGCATTCCGTGTGCTGCGCTGGCTCGCCAGATGCAGCTTGTCACGCTGGCCACGTGACCCGGAAGTGTCTGCGGACAGCGCTGGCTCCCGGCCTATAGAGTGAGATGAGTGCACAACCCTAGAGTCTGGCAAGACTGGCCCGTACAGGCAGGGGTACCTTTACCTTTACCTTAAACTCAAATGTTATAGAACACCACCCTCCCCAACTGACCTCCTTCCAAAATAGACTAAGTCTGGGTGAGGTCTGGGCCCCTGGAATGCACCACCGTCCAGAGAAGCGTGGAGATTGTAGCAATACATTTTAAGTTGAATAATTGTCTTCTGCCACTGTTGTTTTTGCATTGTTGATGTGTTTTTCTGATTGTTTTATTTCATTTTAGATCTGTTGTGAACCCTGGGAGCTCAGCTGTAGGGTGGACTAGAAATGAAAGAAACAAATGTGTAGATGCAATTTTACCAGTGTCCCCTTTTCACATGCACACATCAAATAATTTGGTGCTTTTCATAAAAACTGAGCAGAATCTTCAGATGCCTCTTTGAGATTATAGTTTTTTGTAATGTTGGAAACATCTCATTTCCTGATTTCTTCTTCTGAAAGACAGTCTGATTAAAGAGATCCCAACTTTCCCATAATATTCCTTGCTTGTATTTAAATAGATATTTTCCCTTAACCTAACCACTATCATACCTCCTTGCTTTTTTATATTAACTATAAGGTAAACATATCTTCCTTAGACACTGTACTAATTTGTTTTGGTAAACTGGTGAGGGTTAGTTTAGTGCTCAAAATACATTACTTTCATTGACAGAGCATGTGAAAACAAGTGATGTAGCTATGCTTTTAAAATTGCAACATTTTAAGATGTTGTTGCACAGTTTCACTTCTGTTGTGCCACGCTGAGCAAACTATTGATGTCTCTTATTTCCTGTGGGCAGTGCATTTGGAACTGCTGATACTAGATGCTCTACAGACAGGGTTCTCACATAATGTTTAACCATAGTTTAATGCTATGTGGACAAGCTGCAGTGAGTCCTATTATTATTATTATTATTATTATTATTATTATTTATTAGTTTTATATACCACTCTTCATCATAAGATCTTAGGGTGGTTCACAGAATAAAATACAGGATAAAAAGAAGTAAATAAGTAAATCCAAACAGTAAAACAATAACCCCCCTTTCCACAGATACATTTAAAAGGCCATAGCAGTGGTTTTCAATCAGTGTGCCGTGGCACCCTTGGGTGCCTTGAAAGATGGTCAGGCTTCTATCCCTCTTTCCTGCCGTGCTCTGATGCCCTCTCGTGTCTCTGCCTCCCAAAGGCTTGCACAGCTGTTTGTTGCAGCAGCCCTGGATA